ATGATAATTGATTTATTGTTTGTAGACCACAGTCCTAAATGAGTGGCTAGTGAAATCATAATTTGTCTCAAACAAATGTCTAAGTCCATCATAGTTTAATAACTTGTTCTAAATATTACATATTGCATATTTCTTTCAGAAAGTGGAAATTGAAGATCTGACTACAAAGATGAGGGCTCAGTTTGACGACATTGAAATGCACGAACTTTGCATAGAATAGTCTTCACACATTTTTTTTTTTCATTTAATCATTGGTTCAGGAGTTTATATAATTCAGTGTTCTCCCTCGGAATATTGGATGACATGGCCTCTCATTTGTAACCTAATTTACAGTAGTGCTTAATAATATTGCCTGAGGAGAGCACTGATACCCGTGTACGAGTCCCATGGAACAATTTTGAGCCTGGCAAAAACTTTTTCACTTGAAAGGATTTTTATTTATAATGCTTTTGCTAACAAGACAAGTTGCAAATGTTAGTGTGAGAGACATAGTGAGGGAGGGGGTATTTCATTTTTTTACTTTTGTTATCTTATTGTGTTTCTCTTGACTTACTGCATACACGCCAAGTGCTTGTGTGTAAGTTTTAATTTTTTTATGTGTACATGTATAACACTCATTTAAAAGTAGATTTTGTTAAGGATTGTATTTATTTTTTAGTTCAAATGTGACTTGCAGGTTTTTATTATTACCACTGCCAATAACATGTTAGACATAACCTGCTTTTGTTCTGATAGGATACAAATACTTGTTGGGATTAAAACATGCATTGGTATCGAAATGTGTAAAACGCTATTTTTATAATCAAGACATGAGCAATGCATTCTTTATTTAAGGGGTTAAAGGAGATTTCAAATTACTGTGCACAAAAATCTCTGTTATAGTTGCAACATTTATGTTGCACTTGCAAACTTCAGTTTACGATTGGCATGTTTAACCAAAGACACTAGAAAATACATTAAATAGTATTTTCTACTGTCTTTGGTTTAACAAAGATGTTTGCTGTGCCCATGTCTTAATTATTCAAGGCCCCTTAGTATTGTCTGAACAAGCACATGCAATGATTTTCACTATTGTACAACATGCTCTGTGCTGTTTGAACTGATGTGTTTCCAAAAAGCTGTACAAGTCTATTCACTTAACTGCAATGTCTACTGTTGATATTCATATCGACGGGTCAGCTGTGGACATTTATATTTACAAGACAGCAGTGGATATTCATATCGACCTGTCAGCTGTGAATATTCATAT